GGAAATGCCTGGACCCTGCTCAGAGGACTCTATACAGAGACGTGATGTTGGAGAATTATAGGAACCTGGTCTCCCTGGGTGAGGATAACTTCCCTCCAGAAGAAGGGATGTGCCCTTGTGTATCTTTGTATTTTCTCTTGTTGCCTCCTGGGAGCTGCATCCTTGCTTGACTAATGTGGAAGTCATGTTGATTTTGAAATGAAAAGCTTCATGATGTAGCTTCTGGACTTTCACTGTCCCCTTGGTTTAGATGTTTTGCATTCTTCATGATAGCTCAGGGGGGGTTCCAGAGTAAAGTAAGCATAAAACCTTATGGCAGACCAGGCATGGTGGCTCACGCCTGTCATCTCAGCACCTTGGGAGTCTGAGGCGTGTGGATCACTTCAGGTCAGGAGTTCAAGATCAGCCTGGCCAACATGGAGAAATCCCATCTCTACTAAAAACACAAAAATTAGCCAGGCGTGGTAGTGCATGCCTGTAATCCCAGCTCCTAGAAAGGCTGACAAAAGAGAATCGCTTGATCCCGGCAGGCCAAGGTTCCAGTGAGCTGAGAACACACCACTGCACTCCAGCCTGAGTGACAGAACAAGACTGTGTCTCAAAAAACAAAAACAAAAACAAAAACAAAACCTTCTGGCAGACTTTAAAGATATCCAGTTTCCTGTTTGCTTCTCCTGTGCTTTCGATTCAGTAGTTCTTGGAAGGGAACTCGATGTCCACATATTACATATTACGATGCTCCCCAAGCATTCAGAAGGAGGCAGTCAGTGGAGCAATCAGTGAAATATTTTCCTAGATCATCTGCAGTGTCTTCTTTCCTACTGAAACATAGGGCTGGGACTCTAGAAAAGCTCCAGCACGTCATGGTCCTTTCTTTTTATAAGCAGGAGTCTCTTTCTGACCTGCTGTCTCCATGTTGGAGCAAGGGAAAGAGCCCTGGACCGTGGAGAGTGAAGTGAAAATAGCAAAAATATCCAGCTGGGAGGGAATGTATTACAGGTGTAAAGGCAGGTAAGAGCTCAGATGGGCAGAGTGGAAGCTCCACCTTCCAATAGTGTGTGGGGAAACTCTGCAAGTAGGAGAATTCTGTGGGAAAAGGAAAGTTTCTATCCTGAGATCTCTGAAATAACATCTTTCTTTGCCCCCTCTTATCCCTCTGCTCTTCCTTTCTTTTTCTTATTTTATGAAAGAGTCTCACTCTGTTGCCCCGGCTACAGTGCAGTGGTATGATCTTGGCTAACAGCAGCCTCTGCCTCCCAGGCTCAAAGGATTTTTGTGTCCCAGCTTCCTGAGTAGCTGGGACTGCAGGCACTCACCACCATGCCCAGCTGATTTTTGTGTTTTCAGTAGAGACAGGGTTTCATCATGTTGGTCAGGCTGGTCTCAAGTGATCCACCTGCTTTGGCTTCCCAAAGTGTGGGCCTAAGATTACCTAGTTGCTGAGGCAAGAGACTAAAGGCACAAACTATTTCAGTATAATAAAGAAAATAGTTAAAATAAGAATAGTCATAATATAAATTAGATATAGAGATGATCATGGCAATTGTCAATCATTATTATAAACATTATTAATCATTAGCTTTTAATATTACTCTTTGTTGCATTACTAATATAACCTAGGAATAGCCGGCAGGTATAGGGTCAGGTGCTGAAAGGACATTGTGAGAAGTGACCTAGAAGGGAAGAGGTGAGCCTTCTGTCACACCCGCATAAGGGCCGCTTGAGGGTTCCCTGGTGAAGCGGTAGCGCCAGTATCTGGGAAGACACCCGTTACTCAGCAGACTCTGAAAGGGAGTCTCCTTTCCTTGGAGGAGTCAGGGAACGCTCTGCTCCACCAGCTTCTTGTGGAAGGCTGGATATGATCCAGGCCTGCCCGCAGTCGTCCGGAGGCCTAAACCCCTCCCTGTGGTGCTTCAGTGGTCATGCTCCTTGTCCACTTTCATGTTCCTCCCGTACTCCTGGTTCCTCTTTGAAGTTCATAGTAGATAGTGGTAGAATAAGCAGTGAAAGTCTTAAAGTCTTTGATCTTTCTTATAAGTGCATAGAAGAAAACGCCGATGTATGCTGGCTTCTCTCTCTCTACTTCGGCTCCATAAGAGGCAAGGGCCCACTGTCCTCTGATCACGTGACTTGCTTCACCTTGTCAATCACCTAGAAGATTCACCCTCCTTACCCTGCCCCTTGTCTTGTATGCAATAAACATTAGAGTGCCCAGCCATTTCGGCTGCTACGGGTCTCGGCGTCTTGATGGTAGTGGTCCCCCGGCCCAGATGTTTTCTCTTTATCTCTTTGTCTTGTGTCTTTATTTATTACAGCCTCTCATCTCCACACACAGGGAGAACACCCGGTAAGCTCCGTAGGGCTGGACCCTACACCAAAGCGCTGGGATTACAGGCGTGAGCCGCCATGCACAACTATTGTTATTATTTTAAATAGTTTTGTCTTTTAGTTCTCTGTAAACATGTAAGTGGTTTAAGCATGATTCCAGTGTGAATATAGCAACCACGTTAGTGTCCATTTCTTTCTTTTTGTTTTTTTAGTCGGAGTCTCGCTCTGTCGCCCAGGCTGGAGTGCAGTGGCGCGATCGTGGCGCGATCTTGGCTCACTGCAAGGTCCGCCTCCAGGGTTCACTCCATTCTCCTGCCTCAGCCTCCTGAGTAGCTGGGATTACAGGTGCCCACCACCACGCCAAGCTATTTTTGTTTTTTGTATTTTTGGTAGAGACAGGGTTTCACCGTGGTCTCGATCTCCTGACCTCGTGATATACCCACCTTGGCCTCCCAAAGTGCTGGGATTACAGGCGTGAGCCACCGTGCCCGTTTGTGCCCATTTCTTTCAGTAAACAGAAGTTAAGTGTGTTGTATAAATAAAATAAAAAGGCATGAAAAACACTGTACTTATATATTACCAGAAATGCAACATACACAGAAATAATTCTGACAAAAATAAAAATAGTTATAGAGGAGTAGTAGTTTTGGGAAGTGGTTATTGTTGCAGGTATGTTAAAGATCTTAAAGTTATAGCATAATAATGAAACTTAAACTTTTCATAACCTGGCCAGGTGTAGTGGCTCATGCCTATAATTCCAGCACTTTGGGAGGCCGAGGTGGTGTTCAAATCCAGCCTGGCTAACATGGCGAAACTTCATCTGTGCTAAAATTACAAAAATTATCCAGGCACAATGGTGGGTGGCAGTAATCCCAGCTACTTAGGTGACTGAGGCACGAGAGTTGTTTGAACCCGGGAGGTGGAGGTTGCAGTGAGCTGAGATTGCATCTTTGCACTCCAACATGGGAGACAGAGTAAGACCCTATCTCAAAAAAAAAAGTTTCATAACCTGCAAAAACTAGTTCTCTAGAACTTTTTAAATTTTTGTCAGAATTATTTCTGTGTATGTTGCATTTCTGGTAACATATATGTAGTGTTTTTTCATGCCTTTTTATTTTAAATAATATTATAAAAGTTTAGTTCTGAACAAAAGGTACACATATGTCAGTTTGTGTATCTGTCCTCTTATTAATTAATTTATGTATTTATGAGACAGAGTTTTGCTCTTGTTGCCCATGCTGAAGTGCAATGCTGCAATCTCAGCTCACCACCACAACCTCCGCCTCCAACCAATTCTCCTGCCTCAGCCTCCTGAGTAACTGGGATTGCAAACATGCGCCACTACACCCAGCTAATTTTGTATTTTTAGTAGAGGAAGGGTTTCTCCTTGTTGGTCACGCTGGTCTCGAACACCTGACCTCAGGGTATCCACCTGGCTCGTCCTCTCAAAGTGCTGGGATTACAGGTGTGAACCACCATGCCTGGCCTGTTTTGTTTTTTTTTAAATTTATCTTTACTGGAGAACTTCATATATGTTTGTGGGTTGGAGTTACTCTTTAGACTTCTTTCATTTCTTTTTTTTTTTTTTTGAGACAAAATCTCAGTCTGTCACCCAGACTAAAGTGTAGTGGTGTGATCTTGGCTCTTGGCTCACTGCAACCTCCACCTCCCAGGTTCTAGCAATTCTCTAGTCTTAGCCCACAAAGTAGCTGGAACTACAGGTGAGTGCCAACATGCTGGGATAATTTTTTGTATTTTTTAGTAGAGACGGCGTTTCATCTTGTTAGCCAGGATGGTCTAGATCTGCTGACCTCGTGATCCTTCTGCCTCAGCCTCTCAAAATGCTGGGATTACTGGTGTAAGCCACCGTGCCCGGCTCATCTGAAGGTTTTTTTTTTTTTTTTTTTAACACATTAGTGCTATTAGATGGCTTCAAGGATTGCAAGTTTTACAGTACAGACTCTCAACTTCCTTTGTTTAATAAGATTTGTCAGCTTTTGGTGATGTTGATGATGAGATGCTGCTGTTCCTGTCTCAGTCATTTCACTGTCCTGTCAGAAATAATTTAGACTGGCCGGCTGCCGTGGCTCACACCTCTAATCCCAGCACTTTGGGAGGCCGAGGTGGGTAGATTACTTGAGGTCAGGAGTTTGAGACCAGTCTGGCCAATGTGGTGAAGCATTGAATGTACTAAATGCCAAAAATGGGCCAGGCACAGTGGCTCCCAGTAATCCCAGCAGTTTGGGGGGCTGAGATGGACCCATTACTTGAGGTCAGGAGTTTGAGACAAGCCTGGCCAATATGGTGAAACTCTCTCTACTAAAAATACAAAAATTAGCTGTGCATGGTGGCAGGTGCCTGTAATCCCAGCTACTTGGGAGGCTGAGGCAGGAGAATCACTTGATCTGCACAGCAGGTGGAGGTTGCTGTGAGCCAAGATCACTCCACTGCACTCCAGCCCATGCAACAGAGTGAGACTCTGGGCTGAGGAGGGAGAATCACTTGAGGTAGGAGAATCCTGCCAGTACACTCCAGCCTGGGTGATAGAGCGTGACTCCATCTCAAAAATAAACAAAAAAGGAAATAGCTTAAACTGAGAGGCTTAGGACACAGAAACTTATTTCTCATGAATTTGGAAAGTGAGAAATCCAAGAGCAAGGTGACAGCCAAATTGGTTCCTGGTGAGAGCCTTTGTCATGGTTTAGCCCAGTCATCTTCCTGCCATGTCCTGACATGGTGGAAAGAGGAACCATGGTAGAAAGAGCTCTTTAATGTCTCTTCATAAAGGTACTAGTTCTATTAACGAGTTGTAAACACTCATGACTAAATTCTTTCAAAGTCTGCATCTGCAGGAACATCCTATTAAAGAATACCAAATATACCAAAGCTTATTTGAAAAGTAGTTATTTATCTTATTTTTTGAGACAGAGTCTCATCCCGTCTCCCTGTCTGGAGTGCTCTGCCACGATCTTGGCTCACTGCAACCTCTGCCTTCCAGGTTCAAACAATTCCTGCCTCAGCCTCCCAAGTAGCGGGGATTACAGGCACCATCCACCATGCCCAGCTAATGTTTTTGTATTTTTAGTAGATATGGGGTTGCACCATGTTGGCCAGGCTGGTCTCGAACTTCTGACTTCGTGATTCACCCACCTTGGACCTCCAAAGTGCTGGGATTACAGGCATGTGCCACTGTGCCTGGACATTAGTTAATTCTTATTCCTTATAGTGCTGTGTATATTTTTGACCTAATAAATCAGAAAGTAGTGATATTAACATGTATTTCAGCTCTTATGTTGTGTACTGGTGGTAAGTACAAGTTATGGCTTTTTTCTTAATGGGGAATTGTTTACAATTCTGCAGGCTGTATACATGTACTTATTATTTTCTGACTTCTTTTATCAAGGGTTACAATATTTCATTAACTGATTTTCATGACTTTACCTGTGAGTTTTCGGTATGTGATATGCAATGTAACTGACACACTCCACTTGTTAATGTCACAAAGTGCTGCCGGGTGCAGTGGCTCCTGCCTGTAATTCCAGGACGCCAGGCATGGTGGTGCGTATCTGTAATCCCAGGTACCCAGCAGGCTTAGAAAAGAGACTTGCTTGAACCCAGGAGGCAGAGGCTGCGGTGAACCAAGCTCATGCCATTGCACTCTGGCCTGGATGACAGAGCGAGACTCCATCTCAAAAAAATAAAAATTCAAAAAAATTTTTAAAAAGTCACAAAGTGCCTGTTGCACATGAATATAGGTAATTTTGTAACAGCTATTTAGAAAAATGTGGTATTAACATTTTTCTTTTTTGAGATGTGGTCTCACTCTGTCACCCAGGGTGGAGTGCAGTGGCATGATCTCAGCTCACCACAATCTTGGCCTCCCGGGTTCAAGCAAATCTCCTGTCTCAGCCTCCCAAGTAGCTTGGATTACAGGTGCCTGCCATCACGCCCGCCTACTTTTTGTATTTTTAGTAGAAAAGGGGTTTTACCATGTTGGCGAGGCTGGTCTTGAACTCCTGACCTCGGGTAATTTGCCTGCCTCAGTCTCCTAAAGTACTGGGATTACAGGTGTGAGCCATCATGCCCTGCCTTGTTTCTTTTGAGGTAGAGTCTCACTTTTCACCCAGGCTGGAGTGCAGTGGTGCGATGTTGGTACACTGCAACCTTTGCCTCTTGGCTTAAAGCAATTCTTGTGCATTAGCCACTTGAGTAGCTGGGACTACAGGCGTGGGCCACCGCACCTGCCTAATTTTTGTAATATTTTCTCCTCAGTGCTATGATTGTTTGACAATATAGAAATTCCATTGATTTTGATTATCCTTACAAGAGATTATTGTGGATTATTAAAAAAATATAATACCTTGTCTGTTTTTTTTGGCATTTATTTGTATACAGTAAATACCCTATAAATATGGAGAATATATATTTTTCTCCTCTTTGATGTGACAGTGATATGTTTTTTGCAAATTGTGACACACTTTAGGGTCACAGTGGAAAAATACTCCTTACTTTAGGCTACACATGTTTGTGCCCTGTCAGTGTTTTGTCATGATATTGGAAAGAGGCTTCAGTAAAAATGATTTGAAGAATATGTAATTGCCCATTATTTATTAAAAAATCTTACCCCTTTTGTGTTCCTAAACTTTGAAGATCATGTTTGGGAAGTTTAAAATAAGTATTGTTTTTTGTGTCATATTTACACATTTCAGTATTGTGTAACTTCTGTACTTAATTGGAAACCTATTGGTGTTTATATTTTGTAGCTATCTCTTCCAAATGCATGATGAAGATGTTCTCATCAACAGGGCAAGGCAATACAGAAGTGATCCACACAGGGACATTGCAAAGACAAGCAAGTCATCACATTGGAGATATTTGCTTCCAGGAAATTGGGAAAGATATTCATGACTTTGTGTTTCAGTGGCAAGAAAATGAAACAAATGGCCATGAAGCACTAATGCCAAAAATAAAAATGTTGATGAGTAGTACAGACCGATATGATCAAAGGCTTGCTGGAAATAAGCCTATTAAAGATCAGCTTAGATCAAGCTTTCATTCTCATCTGCCTGAACTGCACATATTTCAGCCTGAAGGGAAAATTGGCAATCAAGTTGAGAAGCCTATCAATGATGCTTTCTCAGTTTCAGCATCCCAAAGAATTTCCTGTAGGCCCAAAACCCATATTTCTAATAAGTATGGGAAGAATTTCCTTCTTTCTTCATTCCTCATAGAAAAACAGGAAATACACATGAGAGAAAAATCTTTCCAATGTAATGAGAGTGGCAAAGCCTTTAATCATAGCTCACTCTTTAAAAAACATCAGATAATCCATTTAGGAGACAAACAATATAAGTGTGATGTATGTGGCAAGGTCTTTCATCAGAAGCGATACCTTGCATGCCATCATAGATGTCACACTGGTGAGAAACCTTACAAGTGTAATGAGTGTGGCAAGACCTTCAGGCAGAATTCAGGCCTCTTAATTCACAAGGCAATTCATACTGGAGAGAAACCTTACAAGTGTAATGAATGTGGCAAGGTTTTTAATCAACAATCAAACCTTACACGTCATCATAGACTTCATACTGGAGAGAAACCTTACAAATGTGAAGAATGTGACAAAGTTTTCAGTCGCAAATCACATCTTGAAAGACATAGGAGAATTCATACTGGAGAGAAACCATACAAATGTAAGGTTTGTGACAAGGCTTTCAGACGTGATTCACACCTGGCACAACATACTGTAATTCACACTGGAAAGAAACCTTACAAGTGTAATGAGTGTGGCAAGACCTTCGTTCAAAATTCATCTCTTGTAATGCATAAAGTCCTTCATACTGGAGAGAAACCTTACAAGTGTAATGAATGTGGCAAGGTTTTTAATCGAAAATCAAACCTTGAATGTCATCATAGACTTCATACTGAAAAGAAATCTTATAAACGTAATTAATTTGCAAGGTTTTTAGGTAACAATCAAACCTTGCCTGTCATCACAGACTTTATACTGGAGAGAAACTTTACAAATGTGAAGAATGTGACAAAGTTTTCAATTTCAAATCACTCCTTGAAATACATAGGACAGTTCACACTGAAGAGAAATAATAGAAGTGTAAGGTTTGTGACAAGGTTTTCAGGTGTGAGTCACACCTGGCACAACATACTGGAATTCACACTGGAAAGGAACTGTACAAGTGTAATGAGTGTGGCAAAGCCTTTAGTGGTCAGTTACAAATGTAATGATTGTCACAAAGTCTTCAGTAACACTACAACCATTCCAAAACATTGGAGCATCCATAATAAAGAGAGGTCTTACAAGCATAATAAATGTGGCAAGTTTTTCAGACATCATTCACGCCTTGCAGTTCATGGGCGATCCTGTACAGGACAGAAACCTTACAAATGTGATGATTATGGCAAGGTCTTCAGTCGAGCTTTATCTTTTGCAAAACATAGGAGAATTCATACAGGAGAGAAACCTCACAAATATGATGATTGTGGCATAGTCTTTACTTCACGTTCACACCACATTAGATATCAGAGGGTCCATACTGGACAGAAAGTTTACAAATGTCATATGTGTGACAAGGTCTTCAGTCTGAGGTTACTCCTTGCAGAATATCAGAACGTTCTTTTTTTTTTTTTTTTTTTTGAAACGGAGTCTCGCTCTGTCACCCAGGCTGGAGTGCAGTGGCCCAATCTCGGCTCATTGCAAGCTCCACCTCCCGGATTCACGCCATTCTCCTGCCTCAGCCTCCCGAGCAGCTGGTACTACAGGCGTCCGCCACCAAGCCCGGCTAATTTTTTGTATTTTTTTAGTAGAGACGGGGTTTCCCCATGTTGGCCAGGATGGTCTCGATCTCTTGACCTCGTGATCCGCCCGCCTTGGCCTCTCAAAGTGCTGAGATTACAGGCGTGAGCCACCGCGCCCGGCCAGAACGTTCATTTTTGAGGTAATAGTTACAAATGCAATGAGCATAGCAAACCATCAAGGATTAATTGACAGTAGAGTCAATTCAGCATTGACTTGAGTTTGAGTTGACTTAAAACATTGAGTTCAAGCATTAATTGACATTAAAGTGTTTATATTAAGAGGATTGGGCCAGGTGCGATGGCTCACGCCTGTAATCCCAGCACTTTAGGAGCCCGAGGTGGGTAGATCACTTGAGATCATGAGTTTGAGACCAGCCTAGCCAACAGACGTGAGTCACTTTTCCCAGCCTGCTTTTTGTTTCTTTAACAAAAACCGATAGGGATTTTTATGAGTATTGTGTTGAATCTGGATCACACTGGGTTACGTAATAATTTAGCAATATTAATTTTTCCAAACCATCAATATGAGTTGTATCTCTATATATGTTTTTAATCATTTGGGTCAATGTTTGTAGATTTCAAGGTACAAAATTCTCAGTTTTTAACGTTTATTCCTAAGTATTTCTCACTTTAAGATCTCTAGCAAATGGAAGTGTTTTTTAAGATCCCCAGCAAATGGAAGTGTTTTTAAATTTTCGTTTAAAAGTGTTTATTGTTAATGTATGGAAATTCAACTAATTTTTGGTGCTGATACTGTACTGTGGAAATCCACCGAATCCATTAGTATTTTGGTTGACTCAGGCCCCGCCCACCTCTTCCCCTCACTTTCTGGCCTGATCCAGGCCCCGCCCACCTCTATCCCTGGTCTGGCTTCTGCCCTGCGCTGATTGGCACAGAGCCGGAAGCTGATGGCATGGACTGAAGGTTGTACCGTGGAGTTTGAGCTTCCCAGTTCTCTGGTGCTGCTATACCGGGGACGTGGGGTCCCCACAGACCTGGAAATTCTGCCCCCTCTTTCTCAACTCAGAGAAAATTGAGAAGTCCGGGTGAGAGTCCACGAGTCACTTCCTTTTGATTTTAAAGTCTCCCTGAGGCTGGTCCCGTCCCTGTCTTTCTGTGGGGCCGTGCAGACACCTCCTGTCGCGAAACTTTCCTTCTCAAAACCCTTCCGACCCATCCTCCCGCCTCGTGCTGTTTCAAGTCCTCACCATCACCCTCCAGCTGGACTCTCACCCTGGGCGCCTTCCAGCCTTGCTCTCATCGGCTCCTGGAGCGCAGCGCTGCAGCCCCAGTCCCGGGGAGACCACGTTCTCTATGTGGTCCTGAGATCCTGCAGACCCCACCCCTGTCCGAAGGCGCCATCGCCCCCCACCTCCCTCCTCGTACCCAGCCCTGCTTCTCCCCAGTTCCAACTCCTGGAAAACGTGCTCCTGCTGGAGGCAACCCTGTTTTTCCACCCTCTCCCTGTTGTTCCCGGAAGGCAGGCCTGGAGTGTGAAGTTTCCAGGTTCTTGGATATTAAACATAATTGAAAAACAAAGAAACAAACAAAAACACAAAGTAACAAAAGAATGAAGCAGCGAAAGCAGAAATTTAATCAAGAAAGCACTCCACAGGGTGGGAGTGGGCGCGAGTGAGCGTCTCCAGGGCCCCGTTTACAAAGTTTTTAGAGGTTAAAGGGTTTTTTTTTTGTTGTTGTTGTTTTTAAGGTCCCTATGGGCTACCCCATATCTGGATGAAGGATTTGGCCCTTGGCCAACGAAATACTGAGGTGAATTCGCCTGAGACCAGAGCAGATGGGTGCCCTACG